TTCCTTCTCTCTCCTCTTTATTTTCTACTTTCTTAAACATGCTACGGTTTTTGCAGAACTACCGGCTATCTTAACCATTGTCCCCTTCAGTGAGAGGAGCAAATCCCTCAATAATTACAATGTTCTTAAACCTGCATAGATTACAGTAACTGGTGCTTAAATAGGGATGTTATGTAAATATTGCCTGTGCAGTACAGGCAAATACAGTTGTCTCTCTTACGCTTGCAATATTGGTAGTATTTACCTCATGTTTGGAAAGTCAGGCTTTATATCTTCGTGCCCTGACAAGTGACGTGATTTCCCCGTGCCCAGTGATCGTTCAGTGGAAGAGCCGGCACTCAAACCCGGAGAACTCCTGAAGCCCAGTGCTGTCCTAGAAATGCCGGACGTGACTGCATCCCCACAAAAGTGTGTTCTGGCTGAACAATCCCTTCTGCATTTATTGGCTTTTCTGGGTGGATTTCAAAGTAGTTTGGTACTACTTTATCACTGTATAGTAGCAATTTTTCCTTAGAGAAAGAGACTCTGGAATCTAACAGTTTTAATGGATTGCAATTATTTAATATTACAGCATGAATGCAGCCTAACTCAGATGGGCTTTTCAACGGAGATCATAATGACTGTAATTGCAAAAGGCTGCCTTGCTGAAGTAGAAGCTGCCAGATGCAATGCCATTCTGATCTAAAAAGGTCACAGTAAAAGGGACATTTAAATTAAGTTATAAATTACAATTGAAGAACAATATTTTGATGAGCAAGACCAGAGATGTCAGAGCTGCAAGATGTAATTCATGGGTTCATTACAGAACAGAGGTGCCTGACAGCTGAGCCATGCCAAAAGGAGAATTTATTTGCAACATCACGCAGACAGAAAATGGCAGCTCTGCTGAGAAGCTATAGCAGAAACTTGAAACCTTGTGGTAATGTGCAGGCTTTATGGTAATAAGGCTTGCCTGTGATCTAGCGTTGTTTAATGACTGTTGTAATATAAATTATGTTTTTAGGCACGTGCACATGCAGAATTTTTCTTTAATCTACAATCCTGTCCGGTGATGCAGAAGTTGCTGTATTTTCTGTTACAAAGTAGAAGCACATTTGTGTTGATTCCTTTTGTTGCAGTTGTATACGTACATAATGTCAGAGTGGTTCCAAATTTGGATGGCAGTGTTAATGCTAAAAATGGTGATTCTCTAGATGACAGGATAGTAATCTAGTGTTTATAGCAATACCTTGAAAAGTTCAACTAGAAGTTAATGAAACCATAGGCAGTCATCATTAGCTATTATTTATGTTTGAGTTGCTTGCCAATAAAGTGCTTATATATATTAAATGACCGAAAGTAATAAGCAGAGAATGAGGCAGATTGAAACACGTAAATTTAACTCTGGTGCTTAGAAAGAAAATATTTTTCCTTTCCTGCTGCATTATCCTACTCCTGGCACTTAAAAAAGCTTTTTTTTTCCCCACTTGCTGAAAGTAACATTTTTCAGGAGACTCTAAACCTGTGTCAGTTCTTTTCACATCTGTGTCTTTTCTGTTATATGACTCTTCTTGTTGGCATCTGTCCTTATGGGTTTTGTGACCGTTATTAATGTAATTACTTGGTCAAAAGTTAATGCTCATATTTTTTATTGTTGATTTGGGACAGTTCGGATGGCCTGTAAACACCGCCATTTTTCAGTAACCAGAGTAGTTGCCTGTTAGACCAATCGACTCTTTCTGGGCATGTCTGATTTTTTGCAGATTAAACTGCTTGGGCAGTAGGGCTGCCAGGGAAAACCACGTGTTGTCCTTGAGGCAAAGTGAAGATGCCCTCCAAGTTACAAAGAGGCTTTGGCATTACTGCATGTTTTTGGAGGGAGCAAAGAAGGAAAAGAAACAGAAGCACTATTCTCTGCAACACTGTCAAATTTCCCAAGTTAAAAATATTTTAGGTAGTGGCATACACAGAAAAAAGCATTTGCAAGGTGAGCTGGCAAAACAAACGGTCCTTTTTGCTTTAAGATGGATCTGTTCCCAGTGCTGGAGTGCAAACAAGGAGAAAAATGAATGTGTACCCAGTAGAAAAGACAACATCTTATCTTCATACCTTTAAGTAGCTATTGCATACCACAGGAGTCTGATTAAAAAAAATAAAAGTTTAAAAAAGTTTAAAGTCAGTAGCGTTCGAATATTGGCATTGAGCACTCGGCACGGCAAGTCTAGCTTTCTACTGGTGGCTTATGTTAGATGGACCGAGGTCATTGTTCCACGTGCGTGGAAGTGCAGGCACGGGAGCTGACACCGCTGTAGTGAACAGAGGCGGATTTACAAGGCATCGTTCTGCGGTGCATTAGGAAATTGCACCTGGGGAGACAGGTTTGAAAGCAATGGTTTCTACGACGTGATCTCGGGTAATGCATCTCCCTGGCTCACGGCAGCGTGAGGTGCCAGTGATGGCTCTGATGTGTTAACGCATCTCGTAGCAGTAGCTTGCAGAGATCAGGTAGCTGAAGCAGGGGAGTGGGGAGGAAATAATTTTTGGAAGCTGAAGCATTGTTTTCTGTGGTCACTCTGCAAAGGTACACACAATGATTGCACAGAGTATCTGTAACTTCCCGGTAGGTGCTGTATAGAAAGCTGAAAATGAGTAGAAAACCGCTCTAGCTTAGTTTTCTTTCTCGTTCCCACTATATTGGCTAAGCACTTTTACTGCAGTAACACCCCGTATGCTATTGGTAAGGAAGAAAATAAATGTTCAGGCTGCCAGTTAAGGGGACATCGCTGTTTGTTCTAAAAACACAGTGCAGGTAATGATCGGAGGTCTTTGCCCAGCAGTGACCTTTTATTTTTAGAAATACTTTACTTTAAAAATCCCTCAAGTATAAATAATTTTTGAATGCCCCAATAACTTGAAGGTGGAAGAGCACCTTCATCAGTGCAAGCTGTGAGCAAGTTTGTGTGAAGTATAACCCACAATGTACCGATTTCTTCTTTAACACGACTGGTAATGTGTTCATCCCTGGCAGTAGGAGGTAGGCGGTATGACTTTTGAGTGGCGTGATTTTCTAGAGGGCCGTGCACTTCTGTTTTTGTAGCTAACTGGTAATTACTAACAAAGTAATTTCTGGTGTTTTGTATTGCAGACAGATTGGCTTTATAGGCTGCCACGATCCGTTCTGTGGCATTCATGACCAGAAAACTGAGATGCTAGTAGAATAGATGGCATGTCATGATACATGGTATCCAAAATGTGCCATTTCAGACAGTGCAGCAGAATGACAGACCATAGTGCCTTGTGTGAAACGGGCACTTTCTGTTCTGTGAAATTCCCTGTCCGTTTATGGTATCATTTTTATTGAAAAAGTGATTACTTCTATAAGAAAACCGTGTGCTTGGATGCACAAGCTATTTAAAACCCGAGTTGACAAAAGCCAGCAAGTGAAAGTGAGACTGCTTTGTTCCTTACAGATGGGTTTTCTCTTCACAGCTGCACGAGGCCACGTACAGAGTGCAGGGCTTTGCTTTCGATTTCCCAGCTTTTGGCAAGTTCTGCTGCAGCTCTTGAAGACTTGTGGAATATTCTGCCCTGTCATTCTCAGAAGTACCATGGCTCTGGAGCCATGCTGGCTTTCTTACAGTGGGCTTCTCCCATCTAAAAGCTATATTCAATAGTGTTTCAGCTTTAAAAAAGCGTATTGCATATATGTTTATAACACACACGCACGCACGCATGTCTGTATTTTGCTGTAAATGCCATCGTATCAATCGAAGTTGCCATTTGACTTCCTTCCTTCTGCAAGTTGTATGGTGGCTTTCAAAAGTGAGCGCACAAACCTTTCATGGGTTATTTACTGGGAGAACTGTACAAAGCTGGCTTTCAGTGGAAACTGATTTTTATTATAGTCTCACCAAAAAAAAAGTCTGTATGGCCAGTGATTTGTTTTTCCCTTCTGTCTCAATTCAGAAGTCTGCCTTTATTTCTTAGTAGAAATCACTTAAACCTACTTAACAGAAGTAAATTTGAGTAATTTACTTACAGCCTTTAAAAGCTTCTGAATCATAGCACTGGATGCGGTATGAATGCAGGGCATTCTTGTGCACCGAAGAGCTTACAGCCTTTACCAAGACAAGACCAGACAGACAAAAGAAGCAATACGAGGGAAAAAACAGTGTTGCTAGCAGGTGGCCCTAGGGCAGAAGGGGTCTGACCATTGTCAGATGTACATAACCAGTACTTACGGATTGTTGGAGAGACGTAAATAGCTAAAGTGAGCAGCAGTAAGAAAGCAATCTTGCTGGCTTTATTTGAAGCAGAATTCTGTTCTAAAATTTGAGTCTTTTGACATAAGAAAAATGAGAAATTTTTTCCCCTTGTAATTGGGTTTTGCTATAACTTTAATAGTTACAAAATAGTTAATATCTTGTCGCTGTTCCTGGAAATTGTCTTGATCCCTGTTCAGTTCATCAGTCTTGGGAAAGGTTCAAGAATTACAGTACTCGTTGAAACGTTTTCTGAGAGTGATTAAGCACAGGTTCTAGCAGCATGGACGCTTCTAGAGAGCGGGATGCAGATGGCTCGGGATAAATTCTGGGCAGGAAGGAAAAGCAGGAGGTAATGTACAGAATCATACTTTGGTTGTCCCTATTATAAAGAAACTTTTGAGAGTCTGTAAAATTCTGTGATATTAATAGGCAGCTTTGAAGCTTTGGTTTGCTTAGCACCTTGCTCAGAGAAACTACCCCTTGTCTGTGTAGGGGAGTAGTCATGCAAATCGTTCTGCCTTTTGGGTGTAGGAAGATAATTAAGTTTTTGTTATCCCAGCAATATTTCTTTTTCTTTTTGATTGTTTTTAGAAGACATAGAGCAGGCTCCTGTCTAGTTCTTCAATTCCTAAAATTGCACTGCACTTTGAAGATAGGACAGGCTATAAATCTATGGTGTGCTAAATGTTTTCCATCAAGAGTTAAGAGCTGGAGAATCTCATGGGTTCATTGCTGAATTTTTTTTTGCCTGTGTAGTTGTTTTTCTACCTCACCCTGACTTTAAATGTCTACTGTCTACTTCAGACAGCTTTTGATCATATAGATGCCAAATTTATGGCAGAAAATAAGGTACACTGTAGGCTGTGACCAGCTGAAACAGTAATGTCAACTTAGACATCCCTGGTTGCATTTATGTACTCCTGTAGCTATCTGTAGAAGGTTTGTTTCTTTTGCATACTTGTTTTCCAACAACATGATGATCTTTACAGTGCAATAAAAATGAGAATTTTCTGGATGGGTAAACTTGACATCCCATGGCTTCCAATCCCTCCTGTATGCTAGTTTTTCCAGTTGCTTTTACTAATCTGAACAAAACATGCTGCATGAAATACAATTCCTTTTGAAAACTATTTTGTTGGAGCTTTAGAAATTCCAAGGAATTTTTTTTTATGTAAAAAATATTTTTTAAAGTTAGCCAAAAAATCTTCAGTGTTTTATGGGCTCAGACATTATTTGGGGGAAGTTTAGGAAGGAAGGGGGAAACATAATTGTTCTAATCCTATTTATTCTACTAATGAAGCCCCAATTACCCTTCAGGTTGTTTTTCATTTCATTTCATATAAACAGTAAAAATAATTAAGCATAGAACACCTCATGTGGCTCCCTTTTAGTGTGTTTTCTCCAATAACAGATCACTGCTAATTCCATTGAATGATCTATTTGTCGTCTTTATTTTTTAGCTACATGAAAGTAACTATGATGCTGGAAAAGCCCTGCAGCGCTTGGTGAAGAAACCTGTGCCAAAACTGATTGAGAAGTGTTGGACTGAAGATGAAGTGGTAGGGAAATTAATTATTCCCTTGAGCCTTTATAGTTCATGTTGCTTCTCTTGCTTTTCTTTTTTTTTCTAAAGAGGTTATCTTTATGGGAAAGAGGGGCAAATAATTTGCTGCATAGGATAAGTTTTTGTACAATTCTGAGTTGTTGGGCCCTCGTTCGATATACAGAACCTAATTAGACTGGGGAAAATACCTTTCTAATAGTAGAATAAGAGAGAAGATGAAGTGACTGGTTTTGAGAGGATGCTATAGGGTAAATGAATAGCTGCAAAACTTCTGGACCCTAAATTTCCCTTTCACCTCCAGGAAGACTGGCCATATTCATTAATTGGAGTTGGACAAGATGTAAAAGGCATACAAAGTATTGTCCCTGGGTTTTTTTGCTGCTGATATTGTCAGAGGCTTAAAGTGTCAGCTCAAGTTGGCTAATGGGAGTTTGGATATCGGTGCTGCTCCTAAACAGAATTTGAGATTACGTCCCTTCTTCCTCTCACACGGAACATTAGAAACCGTTTACTGGCATAGTTCTTGATGGATGTATTTTTAACAAAGAGCAGGCCAAAAGTAGATTATCTGAAAGCTGGTGTTTAGCCATACAATCCACATGTGCGTTAAAAAGTAAAAGTACTTACTTAAAGTAAGTAGTCACAGTGCTGGTTCTTCCATATGGCTGGTGTTTCGGCATGTGCTGCTAGTTAGTTTTTCTAGGTTTGGGGCTCTAGTGCAGGCAGAGGAGGAACACTGTGAACGTGTCGTTCTTTCCTTCAGAGGTTGGGGCTTTTGGTATGTGTGGCTTTGGATTGAGGTGTTACTGTTGTTATTAGCCTACTAAAAGATACTGCTCTGCAGTCCTGATTAGTGGAAAAAATAATTTTGACTTGAGAAAGACACCTCTTCATAAAAGCTGCAGTTGACAGAGAGACTGTGCTGCTGGGAAAGCGCCTCACATGCAAATAGTCCACTTTTTATTTTTTAATTTCTGGCTATTTTTACAGAATTTGGGGGAGATGGTATCTGTGAGAATTAGTGAAGCAAAGGTGCTTCTTGCCATTCATTCTGCAGCTTAATTGTTGCAATTGTGAGGTTTCTGCTGGCTTAACTTTTATACATCTGATATAATGCAACTGTGCTTATTAAACAGTTTTCTGTAGGGTTGTAAGCTGAAATAAACTGTGTGAAGTTGGGAGCAAATTATAGATTCTTAATTTGCTGACACCTTGTAAACAGATTCTTAAGTATTGCATTCAACACAAGATGCATTTTCTGGCAGGGTTTGGAATCCAAATGCTGCTGCATTACAACCCTTCTTTTGTCAGAGCTCGCAGCTTTGACTGTTTAAAAAGAAGAAAAAGCGTGAAACTCGTGCTTTTTCAGTAGCCAGGAGAAACGCTGAACAAGTTCACTTGGATTACATCCTAAAAATATTTTGCATTTTAATGCTGATATTGATGTTGCTTAACAGAATAGATTTATGTGAAATGTAACATGCAAGAAGACAGTACCTCTTTAGCAAGCTGACTAGGCATGTCTGGTTTTGTGAAAATGGAAAAATGTTATATTTCCTAGCTCAATAATTAGGCTGCAGTGTGCACTAAAATAGAAAATCAGATGATTGGAAGTTAGTTATGATAAAATATTTATCACAGAAGAACTTCAGACTCGCTTATGGTTTTTTACCTTTCACTTTTGTCAAAGCTTCTCTCTTATGTACCATATTGGAATAAAGGGGATGGAAATTCAACTTGTCATGCATACTTAGCAGGATAGAAATGCAAAAAATCTAATACGGTGCAAGACAGCATTGCTCATGTAAAAGTGACAGAAGTTTTGAGGGTTTTTTTCTTTGAATTAATGAATTTTTAAGCTTTGATGAAGGAATAAATTGGTAAAGAATTTGAAGAAGTAAATAAATAAATTTTGTGATCTTGTTAAGCTAGTGATAAAATTTGCATTGGTGCTATAAAATAGAACTGATGCGTAATGGGTGAAACTTTCATGGTTTCTTAGCGCTTTTTAATTATTCAGACAATGGCTGGAGAGACTTTTTTTTTTTAAGCTCTAGTTTCTCTGAAAGTCTTTCAGGGAGTTATTCCAATGAATTACATGTGCTTGCTCTCTCCTTATGTAAACCTTTTTGCAAGAACTAGATTAGGGGTCAGCCAGGCCATATAAACCTGTATTAAAGTAGGCTTATTCTGAAATCCAGCAAAGAGCCTTTGTGGTAAGGAGACCGCCCGAAGTCATAGAGTGAAAGAGGATGATGTGCTAACACTGGCAGCAAAGCGGAGGAGAGGATGAGTAAAAAGCCTAGAACACAGCTTCCTGATAAGTTTTACAGTTATCTTGTCACAAAAGGGAGTTTTGTTCAGGGAACTGACCGTCGGAACAAATACTTCAAGTGCTCTGCCCTGTGTTTAGTAAGTTTGTTTTCTCTGCGTACATTCTTTCCCACATTCATGGTTAAATTGTACAGTGCTACTACCTCTTTTTCTGTGTAGAATTTTTTTTTTCACTCTCCTTGTTTTTTCCATCAGCTGCACTATGTTGTGAGTGCCGTAGCTGCTGCAGCTCAGGGTTTTTTTGACTGGTCCATAGTAAGCGATAGAGAATAGAGCCTCACAAATAAGAAAAAGCAAAGTTCATTGAAAAGTGAAACATTACTCCAAAACTGCAAACCCTGTGAGTACAGAATAATGATCATTGACTCTATAAATCATTGTCAGTCTCAGCTCATTTTATCGTACTTGTTCTGTTCCATCCAAGTTTCCAGAAACATTTGGCAGCCCTCCAGCCTCCGCAGAGCCAAAGATCAAACTGTGCTCTTATTTATAGACAGCTAAGCTCCACCTGCACAACTTCATAACATGTTTGTCCCTGGCAGTTTGTGGAAAACTCCAGATTGAAGCAGCTGTAGTGCACTTCTGAGCATTTCTGAGACTTGCAAGGGAAGTTTCCGTATTGTTGGCTCTGTGAAACTGAGGAAAACTCGTTCTGTGTGATACTTAGGGTGCTAAAGCTGCATAGAATCTCCACAACAAAGTATTTTTCAGAAAACACTGATGTGTCAAACCCAAAGTCTGGCCAAAATAATGAAATTTTGATGACAACCTTAAGTGTCCTGTCTCCCCCATCTCATGATGGCACGTGATGAGCAAGTGGAAGCTTCTAGTAATGTGGCTGGCTGATAATCCAAGAGACACTTCTAAGGGAAGTGGAAGATCCAGGTACAAACCATGTCTCTATTTGTGCTGGACTTAGAATTAATCTCTTCTTGTGGCCCAGCAAGTATCTGCTTATTTAATTTTTACACCTTATATAAATAAGCAGATACCACACCAGGTTTGAAGCTTTGGCTAGTTAACCTCCTCAACTGAGAGAGGTTCTCTGGCATGTGGCCAACTGAAATAATTTAGATCATGGCTTGTATTGTCTCAGTTTTTCCATTCCTGCCTTCAGAATCCTATAATCATATTCTGCCCGCTGCCATGCCTCCGGACCCCCGAAAAGTCACACTCCCCCTTTTGTTACTCTTAAGTTAACTTTCTGCCAGTCCGTTGTTTAGGTTTTTTTTGTGGGTTTTTTTTTTTTTTTTTAAGATGAGCATCAGACAAATTCTATTGCAGGGAAGATGTACGGTTGTGTGGCTGGGCGGAGAACAGGGAGCAGAGGGGAAGGAGCGTTGTGGTAAGGTCAAGTACTTGGGCAGGTGAAGTGTCAGTGTAGTCACACTGATGGAGGGAAAGAACTGACTTAGTACAAAACTAATTCTTAAAACTTGCCTAAGTCAAAACCCTCTGTAAGTTGGTTGGAGTATTGCTTGCACAAGTATTTTTACTGAGTCCACTTCCACTGTGCTGGATGATTAATGTAGCTGATTTTGTTGTGCACATGATAGCACTGCTGTGTCCAGCACAGATCTCAGCAGCATTCAGTAGTATTTGTGATATAACACTGTGTGAATAACTCAAATTTATTGAAAATTTATGTATTTATAAAGCTTTTAACTTTTTCTGTGGAGTATCTGTTGCCCAAAGGTCAAGCCTTTCTTGTTAATTAAAACAATTTTGTTGCTTCTGACCAAACTGTCAAGTAAGAGCTCCTTCGCAATGATCAGAACTGATTAAAATAAAGGATGGATGTTATGTTATTTTTACTACTGATGATGTGGTTACAGAGTTTTAAATCAAATTAAACAGGATAAATTTTTCCAGTGATTGAATTAAATGGAAAGCTCTGTAAATATGAAGACGGAGGTTTGTTGTCTCCCTTGTGTTTCTAAACTGATGGCTATTTTTAAAACTTTTTTTTTTATTCTGGTATGTAAATTCAGAGGCATACTGTGAAAACCAGTCTTCCACACTGCTTAATAAAAGTGGCTGAAGAAACTTCTTCACTGCTGTGTCTACATGCAGCTCTAACGGCAGCTGTTTCCTGTTTATAAAGGCTTATGCTTCACCTGACACCATCGGTTTCCAGCAGTCATTTGGTGCGAGGCGTTGGTTTCTCTTGCAATGCTCATGATACGTCCATGCACAAATTTGTTGAGCAGTTGTCATATATAATGTCATATTTAAGCACCTTCTAAGCACGCACCTATAGCCCAACATTCAGCAGCATCTCCTGGTGGAATCTCGTTAGGCTGCAGTTTCAAATAGCAAGCGGTGCAGTTCAAAGTAGATGCAGTATTTGGGAAGAAGCCATGGAGCAAGTCTTTTTTGATGCAGCTGGTGGCAGTGCCCTCCAAGTTTCCTACCATCGAATGCCAGGTCTGACACGCGGCGTTGATGCCCACTGCGAGAGCGAGGTCAGTGCAACTTGGAACGGGGCACTGACTTAGCCGTTGGGCAGGTGTTCCATGGGGTATCTTTTGCTAATATGAGATTATAGAGTAACCACTTTCCTTATTCCATTTTCTTCAGCCATCTTTCCCAGTCTGCATAAGCCCCGGTGGTGCCCAGTCTCTGTAACGCTGTTTTCGTCATTCTGCGTGCAACAGTAGT